GCTTGAACTATCTTGCTTTGCATGTAATGAGTCTATCTCATATATTAGTTTCACCTTTTAAGTTGCATTAGTGAAATAAATGAACTTTGCACCATATTCTAATTATTCGAGTTTCACCTGTATATGGCAGATGTTTTGCTGTTGCCATAAAAAATATAAATAATTGTAATAATGTTGTTACAGTGTATTTCAGTTAGGGGTTTTCTTTTATAAAAGTTATTCTTGTTTAATCCATTGTTACTTGTTTGTTTCCATTTGAAGGTAAATTTTCTTTTGTTTTTGAAAATTTCATTTGTTTTTTTTCACTTTTAAAACATTCCCAAATAGAAGAAACATTTTTGTTTATCATTAGGTAAGTGGAAAACTGCCCCTGCCATGTAAAAGGGATGGCAGATAAGCAGTGGGCAAGCCCCTATGCTATGGCTCTGTAGTTATGCCCCTGAGCTTGCAAGTATAGAATCACCATAAAGCTCACCTTTGCCGATATTGGGAATTATTTGATGACTAATTCTGATGTCATCTAATTTTTCTTTAAATTTACATTAGATGAAACCCAAAGGCAAACTAAAAATAAAACATAAAGGGAGACAGTCAGTTTAATGGGTGTGCAGCTAAAAAGGCAAAGGGTTAATTCTGTCCTAATGCTGTACCCACCCTTTTCCAGAGGGTAGTTCCTTTCAACTGGACTCATCTGCCAAAACTCACTGACCTAGTTCTTTTATTATTTGCTTCTTTCATCTTGGGATTATCAAACAATTCAATTTTCTAATGCGGTGGTTATGATGACCTTCTATATAATGAATACCCTTTCAGGATTGTGCCATCTCTGTGTTTCCCTGCCTACTGGTGTGCAAGCATTGTGAGTTACCTTTCTCGCTCTCCTGTGCTCATGGTGTTAAAGAAAATAAGCTATAAAGCCGATGAGTAAGGAAGGTAGATTTGTTCATGTTATAACTGAACTCTGGGAACAGAAACCTTTGTTTAAATATATTCCTCAGAAGCCACAAGAGATAAAGATCCACTTTGTGGGCACCAAATGCCTTTGCAAACCCAGATATTTCATTATAAAAGTAGCAGTGACACATTCACTGTGCTGCACATAGCCTGGGGAGAGGGCAGAGCTGTGGGAGGGGCTCAGTAGGCCCCTACAGGAAACTACAGGAGAGGGTGGACACAAGACCAGTCACCCTGCAGCGGGAGACAGAGCAGCAGTGACCGGTCTTATTTCAGAGGCTTCTGCAAAAAGGGAACGTTTAATGCTGGATTACTGCACAGATCTGGAACAAATACACAAAGCACACCACGTTTCAAGTAAGGATACACACACCTCTTGTATATAGACAATATTTGCTTATCCCGGAGCTCAGCGTTAAAGGGTAAGTTCACTTTCCCAGGTGAATTTGGGAAAATTGAATTATCCCCTCCAGTCTGGCCCCCTCTCCCTGCCCACCCCCTGCTATACTAACTATCAGCCGAATGCTCCTTCCCGTCGGTTGGTAGGGGTGTACTATCTGTACCCTGTACTGCTGTCTAGCACAGCCCTGTGATATGGATTTGGAATTTTGCTCCTACATTGCGAGCACTCATTGGTCAATGCGGTCACCTTACTGCGCTGATCAATGAGAAGCACTTTTTACTAAGACCAATGAGTGCTCACAATTTGAAATTCAAAATCCATAGCGCAGGGCGGCACTAGACAGCAGTACAGGGTATGGATAGTACACCCATGTCGGCGGAGAGGAAGGAGCGTTCACCGAAAAGGTAAGTATAGCAGGGAGGGGTCCAGATTGGAGGGGGTAATTCCATTTTCCCAAAATCAACCTGGAAAAGTGAACTTACCCTTTAAATTATTTTTAGCAATTTTACCTCAAAGCAATATTTGTTTAGTTTTGATTAGAGTGAGGACACATTAGTTATGTTGGGGCATGTGGGAGGAACCACAGAGTGCATCGGGGAAACAAACATCCAAATCATAAGTGTGTTGGAAATGAGGATTCTTCAGGCAGGTTTGCGGGGCAGCAAAGCACAGGATCAGGTAAGTATAGTCTCTCTGCCTTTAAGGTAGGTTTTTTTTTTTAAATTTGTGGCTCCAGTGGAACCTAGGGTGCCATTAAAAAATGACAATACAAATTACAGGCAATAGCTATAACTGCATGGAACTACATTGTCACTTTAAGTATTAGATGTATGTAGAGACTAATGTGTCTCAGCTGTGTACTGAACACACTTTTATTAACATGTCGCTCAGTTATGTCAGGTGATCATGACTTTTGTCAGTGGGGCATATCCTTCATTTGACCTGGGCCCTTTCGGGTTGCCAGTCCGTTGTGTTGAGCAGCAAGTCATCTGTGAGCATGCCTAAACACTCAGAGCGAGCGAGGATACATCTCAGGGGGTTCAGTTAGCATGAGGTCAACTGAGGCAACACAATCAATACACAAACTATGAAAACAGATGTGAGTATTTATTTCCTCAAAAAAAAAAAAAATATACATAAAGCTTTAGAAACGCAGCACAGTGATTTGTTTATAAATATTCCATATGAAAGGCAAACTGTATACAGGAACAGACCGAGGTGATTCCATTTGACCAAAGTAGCGGCTTCTTTTGCCACTGTTGTTTTTCAAACTGCATATTTGAGTTCTTCTATTTGTAACAATTAGAACAACACAGAAGAACTGGCCATGCATGGTTTGATGTAGCTATGGACTCATAAGACCTCACAGCTGTATGGATCATGGCTCTTCCATGTGTGACTAAAACAGAAAATGTTTCAAGTGTATCCCAGTGTACAAGGATAGGTGCAAATGTTCCAAATCTTTAGTTTCACTTTTGGGTTTTTGGCAGGGACAGCTGCTAGTGTGCGTTGCCTGGCACAGACCTTTATTGCAATGTAACAAGTGACATTTCATTAAGTTCTATGGGCATAGTGTGGGGCGAAGGGGTTCTAGTCAGTGGTGTAACAATCGCCATAGCGACCCAGGCGGCCGCTATGGGGCAAGGGGCACAGGGGGACCCAGCCAGGACATCCCTGATGCCGTGTGGGCCGTCTGGGTCGCTATGGTATCCTATGCTGCTGGCTATCACTGGCGGCTGTGAAGAGGAACGCGCCGCTGTTCAGATCACCGTCAGTAGGCACAGTATAACCCGAAGATTAATGACTTCCTGTGTCCCTCAATGGACAAAAAAGAATATAGGATTTTTGTACTCACCGTAAAACCCTTTTTTTAGAGTCCATTCAGGGACACAAGTCCCACTCTCTGTTTATGATCATGATTTTAGTACTACTTTGCTACAAAAATACATTTTTATTATTTGGTACAAATGTTTTCAGGACATATACAAAAAGGTACATTCAAGTTTGTTGAAATGTTAAGAGCCAGTACACGTAAAGCTGAGCTCTAGCCAAAATATATATAT